CGTTTGTGTCTCCTTTAAAGGCTTTTGACACATTGTTTAAGGTTTACCATGTTTTTAATGCTAAATATCCGAAATCAAGCGACCATATATTATTAATAATACAGAGATGTATTTATGGTATCATAACTAGGTATGACAACGTCGTGCCTTACATTACCGATATATTATTATTGTAACAAATTGATTTTTAAGATGGATATTTAGTTTAAAAAAAAAAAAAACAAAAAATTAAGTTTATAATTTTTACATAAAACTTGTCATTAATAGTCAAACATGCATTGCACCATTTGTGGTAAGGTTTTTGTCACTTTTAATAAGTATACAATTCATTTGAAGCTTTTTCATAACATTACTGATTACTTCTCTTGTCCTATAATAAATTGTGATAGAGTATATCATAAGAAACATTCTCTTAAAAATCACCTAAAGTTGTGCCATAGTGAAAATATTTCTCTGAATAGTATTAGTGTAACAGAAGAACACATAGGCCAAGCAAACATAGATGATAATAGACAGCACCGTAATCAAAGCCGTGAAATTGATGATATAGAACTAGTTCGAAATTCTGAGACTCGTAGCAATACGTTTAAAGACATATTGAGAACATACATAGACTCATTTGTATCAAAGCTGTACGACACACTTAATATGTCAAGAGCACATACACAGGAAGTAATAATTGCTGCTAAGCAACTATTAACTGATGTTTTTTTAAAATTAAAGGAATTAAACATTGAGGGTCCTTTTGATAGTACTGTAACTGACGATGTGATGTCATGTTTTTCACATATAGATAGTGAATATAAAAGATTGAAGTATTTCAAGGATTGTAATAAATACGTGAAACCTACTTTAGCTTTCATTGGCTCTACGCAAGAAAAGTCTAAAAAAAACGTTGACACTGTGATGACATTAAAAGAAAATTTTGTCTGTATGATATCATTAAAACAAAATCTTAAGTTATTTTTAGAAATTCCTGAAGTTTATGATAAAATACGAGCTTATCAAATCAAACTTTTTGAAGAAAAAGATATTCTTAGAAACGTAGTGCAGGGTAAGCTTTGGCGACACAGACATACAAACAATAGCGATCCTTATATTCCTCTTGTTCTCTTCTTTGATGATTTGGAAACTGGAAATCCACTTGGAAGTCGGGCTGGATACAATAAAATTGGTGCAGTGTATGTATCTATAGCTTCCATCCCCCCGGAATACGCTAGTCGTCTAGAGAACGTGTTTTTAGCTATGTTGTTTTACAGCAACCATCGTACAAAATTTGGCAATGAAAGTGTCTTTGATTCACTAATTAAGGAATTAAACTATTTACATGATTACGGTGTTGACATTATATTAAATAGTCGTCAAATAAAAGTTAAATTTGCACTCTGTGTTATAGCCGGAGATAACTTAGGTCTTCACAGTATTTTAGGGTTCAACGAAAGCTTTTCGTCTACTAATTATTGTAGATTTTGCTATAGCACTAAACGAGAATGTCAATCTCAAATATTTTGCGATGAAAGTAGAAAGCGATCCAAGAATCAGTATGACGATGATGTTTTACAAAATTGCGGAATAAAAGAGACATGTGTTTGGAACAATATTTCCGGATTCCATGTATACGACAACGTATATTGTGACGTAATGCACGATTTGTGTGAAGGTGTCCTTCGATATGGTATGGCGCTCATAATAAACGACTTAATTAGATCCGAACATTTTACTTTGGAGCAGCTAAATGAAAGAATTAAGTATTTTGATTTCAAATCAAGTAATAGTCCACCACAGGTGAACAAAAATAAATTAGAGCAAGGTGTCTTAATCGTTTCTGCATCTGAAATGTTATGTCTCGTCAGGAATTTTCAGTTCCTAGTTGCAGATTTGGTGCCCTATGACGATAAAGTTTGGGATTATTATTTATGTTTGCTTGAATTGACCAATGTTCTTATGTCACAAGTTTATAGTGAAGAACTACTGGATTATTTAAAAATTCTAATATCTGAACACCACGAAAAGTATGTTACTTTGTATGGAGCTACGCTTAAACCTAAGCATCATTTTTTATTGCATTATCCAGACATTATTAAAGATATTGGTCCTTTAATATTACTAAGTGCTTTTAAATATGAGGCTAAGCATAGGGATTTAAAGCGTGTCTCCAATTCTATAAATACTCAAAGAAATTTGCCATTGTCTCTAGCAATTAAGTGCCAGCTAAAACGTTGTTATATGTACCTAAATAATAGAGGTCTACCTGATGTTATAGAACACGGTAAAATAAAAAACGAGCAAGTAATCCCCGAGACTGAAGGTGATGCTATTTTTTTAAACGTTAAATGGTATATAATTAATGGCATCAAATATTCAATTGACAATTGCCTTTTGTATGAATTCGAGGATTGTCATCCACAATTTTGTCAAATTTCTCAAATATTACTCTCAAAGCATGACAATTCTAAGTTTTATTTTTATTGTTGTATGTTAAGGACAGTGGATTATTCTGAACATTTTAAATCATTCGTAGTTGAGAAGGGGGACATATTCAAACTTTTAAGTTTAGATGATTGTTTTAGTTTATTACCTAAAAGTATTAACACAATATCTGGTTGCAATTATATCTTTTGCACTGAGTAAATGTAACTAAGTATAAGCTTTCCATTTTTAGGATATCGCTTCTATCCATTTTCTTTTATTTTTTAACATGTTTTCTTTGATAATTTCTGCAAATTTTTATTGTGTGTGCTTACTTAAGTAAGGTTTTTTGACTGATCTGCACTTCGACACCACTTCACTGCGTTTCTACTCTGGGCCACACACATGACACTGCGCCACTCCGACAACTAAATACAGACTTGACTTTCAGATATTGATTGATTTGATTATTTGACTTGATTTTCGGAAATCGCACTCCATAAAAAGGACAGGAAAGATTAGTGACCTTTACTTTGACATCAAAACCCTTTGATGATCCCTAATACTTCGATGATGGATCTGGACCAGATAGAGAGGAGTCGATTGAGAAAGCGACGGTGTATGGTCGGAATTGTTGAGGGTATGGACAAGATTCATGTGGGGCAGGTGGAATTTAATAGTGAGTGCTGGGGATTGATGAAGCCCATCACCCGCCGTCAATTTTCACCACCTACCATCAAGTCCCACATTTCGTCGATCTCCACCATCGCTTCATTAAAACCCTCCATCCCCTCGTCAATCCTACTTTTCTCTCATCAATCGCCATTGACCATCATTCCACCTTCCCCCCATCAATCCCCTCCATGCCATCAATCTTCAACACCCAATCAACCCTTATCTCCTCCCGTTCATCGGTTGGTAAAAAAGATCCCAGTGGTTTCCCAAGAAAATCCTTATCTGAATAAATTCATGTTATGTCATGTCAATTGTTGTTGGAGTGGCTCAGTGTCGGAGTCAGATTAGAGTAGTCGGAGTAAAATGGTGTCGAAGTTACATAATATTGTCGAAGTAGAATGGTGTCTGAGCAATGTCAAAGTTTCATATTGTTACTGTACCTATTTGAGTTTGTCTAAAAGTCAATTTTTGTTTCGATTTTTATATCTCTGTGACAAATAAATAAAATTTTAATCAAGCTTGTTTTTATTTGTTTTTATGTCATATTTTGAGAGTCACTGAAGGTGTGGTTCTATTCGATATAGCTCATAATTTTGGGGTCCGCGTAGACCAGGCGAAGAATGCTCGAGCATTTTTCTATTGATAGTATTACTCTAGATAACATCATGGTAAAATTATCTACGATAAGACTCAATAGAAAAATGCTTAAGCATTCTTCGCCTGGCCTACGCTGACCCTTAAATTATGAGCTATATTGAATAGAACCACACCTTCATTAAAACTAAAATTTCTAGGAATAAAATTATAGAAGTTATTGAATTAAAATAAACTACATTGACTGAATTTCACACAGTCTCATTTAAAAAAAACAGTATCGTCTGGGTGAAACGACTAGACGTTTGTAGGAAACCTTTCGTGTTTAGAATCAAAACATTTGCGGCATTACTTTAATTTACTAATTCTTGTATCAAGACTTATGTGTTTAAATTCAAGATAATAGCATTATTGAATCACAGTTAATTTATTTGATACAATTTTCATTTTCTCTCTAATAGAAAAAACGGTTCTCTTCGCTGAAGATTACATATTTTCTAGTAAACACAGGGTTCTCTAAAACCTACACGTTATGATTTTACAAAAATATCGCCTTGTTTTAGACAAAAATAATGTTCATATAAATGAAAAGATGCTAATTTTAGAACATAGTACACATATTTAAATATAAAAAAATCATAATATAGAATTAAGAGAATCATTCTTTTGATTCGTCTGACACATTCTCTTGAATTAAAATTTCATTCTCTTAAAAAGACTGCATCTAATCTTGTGTCATATTATATGTTCTCTAGAATAAAAATTATCTAATTTATAATTGAATATCTGACAATTTAAATGAAATTGAAATTAATCAACAGAAATACAGTAATTTTACAGATGAAGTAAATGTTTACTAATACCAATAGTCTTTGACATTTTGGTCTATGCAATTACTAGTTTCTTGGAACAATCTTTCAAGTTTTTATTGCTTCAAAAGAATATTATTTACACTTAAGGTCATATTTTTAAGACAACCGAAATCTGGAGAGAAAACAACCATGATTTCGGATATATATGAATTAATATTTTTTTGATTTGATGGAGGTTATTTAGCACGAAGAAATTAGTTGCATAATGTAATCGTTAATTGAGATTAGATACCTTTTGCCTTTATCTGCTTCTTGGCAGTGTCTATAGTTTCCGTGTTTATTTCGTCTGATACATACTGTATTTTTAACGTGTTTGTAGTTTGAAACAATAATATTTTATCTTACATTATCGTTTAATACCTATGTTGATGCAGAAGCCTTGCAGCGATATGCTAGTTTCGACCTTGTGTAATCAAGCTGTCAGATAACGTTTTTCACAGGACGAACGAGGGCGGTTGATGAGGCGCACGATCCTAAGATACGTTTGCCTTTGTCTCACGATGGTGCTAACTATGATTTCGCCTAGGGTTAAGAAAAGGTTTCCCACGCTTATTAATTTAGTGGAAGCTGGTTTACTGCTTGACAATGAGAAAATTATACTTGACAATTTAAATGAGAAATTTCCGAAGCCTTCGAAACATTGGTATGTTTTAAAATACTTAGGTACATTCGGCCGAAAATATGGTCTACCAAAAGTATTTGAAAACATACACGAAACAGTAAGGTCGATTTCCCTTTGCAATAATAAAAGCGATCACTGCTTGAAATGTCGGATATCTTAAACAACAAGACAATACGCTATAACTGAGCATCTAAACTTCGTTAGAAAAGCCTACCTTAGTAATAATTAGATCTCATAACAAGAATGTCATAACAGGTAGACCATTTTCTTGACCGATCGAATGTACAACAAAAATTATGAAAAATTGTAACATTTATGTCATAATATCTTTATGGTATTGCTTATTAGAAAATCACCTTGAATATAACTTCCTTAGGCGTTGTAAAAATCGTACATTTGAAAAATGTTACAATGTGTAGAGATAACTTTAGACGTTATCTTTATAGTGATAAAGTATTATTTATCACTATCCTTTGTAACAGATTTGTTAAATCAGTCAATGTATGCTCTAGTTTGCAACCCACTTGAAAATTGCAAAACATTTGCTGATGAATTGTACTCGGAATAAAAAATGGGGAATACTACTGAAGGAGTCAATTCTGAATGCACTGGATTTTCGCTTAGCGCAAATGACTTATCGTCCAAAATATGTGCAAATTAGTGACATTCCGTTAAGTAGATCCTGGAAATTAAATTATGATTTACTATATAGACTATTTTATAGGCACTGATATGCCCTATGGGATTGGCATTGCCTAGTGGAATAAAAACACTAAATCAATTCAGATGTCTAATAAAACAAAGCTACACCTTATACCTATAATAAGGTATAAGGTGTAATATGCCAGAACTTTGTGAGATGGATAAGTTAAGTATACTAAACAACTTTCACTATAGGAGCAACACTGAATTCACAAAAAAATAATCAGCTGTTTCATACAAAATCGTGAATTCAGTGTTGCTCCCATAGTAAAAGATGGTCAGTATATTTAACTCATTCGCTCCACGAAGTCCTGGCACATAATAATGTTGGTAATTTCAGGTTACCCATTGTATGGGCTACTAGTATAGTGACGAGGGCCCGTAAAGAGGGCCGAATAAGGGATGATTTTGCAGTAAAAACTATCATAGACGAATTAAACAAATTCCGGGGACAGGCTGGCCTGCTACTCAGTTATGACACTATAAGTGTACCACTTGTATATACTCAGGTGCGTTTATAAACGATTTTCGTCTCTCCGAAATGAACGTGCGCAATCTTAAAACACCATTCCATCCTATTTCAGGTAGTTACGATAGCAGTATACTCGTATTTTATAACGTCCGCCTTAGGCAGTCAATGGGTTGACAATAAATTGGAGTCTCATTCGAATTCTAATATCAGTAACATAGATTTATATTTTCCAATATTTAATACACTAGAATTCTTCTTCTATATGGGTTGGCTAAAAGTGGCGGAGTCTTTGATAAACCCTTTTGGAGAAGACGACGATGACTTCGAAGTCAATTGGTTGATTGACAGGAATTTGCAGGTAAATTTTATTTTTGATGTCTTATTTATCTATGATCAATATTAATAATAATCCTTAAAGTAGCTTCAGTAAATTATATAGATTTTTATATTTTTTATACAGATTAAGATTAAACCACAAGGTTATGAGAGTCACTTCAAGATATAAAGGTCAATTAATAATTTATATAATATTTTGGTATGCATTTATTACCTATCTGTATGTCGTTTGTCATTGTTGAATTTTCTATGTTGAAGATAATTGAGAGCACGTGTTAGGATTTGTTTTTGGTTAGAAGTAGAAATAATTGTGATTGGTAAGTCGAATAGATGTTTTCATAATATTCTCGTAAATCGTAGTGGTATGTATATGTAAGAGTATGATCTAAAAAATCTCCTTCTGGATTAGTATATCTAACTGCATTTTTTTATTGTTTCCATGTCAAGCCACGTGTCTATAATCTCGATTCATTGTATGTCTCAGGTTTCATACATGATCGTAGACGAGATGCATCACGAACATCCAGAGTTGATTAGAGATCAGTATTGGGACGAGGTTCCTTCTGAGTTACCGTACACGATCGCTACTGAAAACCAACGCGAGGAACACCCTGAGCACTCGACGGCTCGTGTGAACGTCCCAGTGCGGCAACGGAGCATGGTCGCCGTCGCTCCCTCCACGGTCAAGATCGACGAGATGGTTCCCTCCAACACCGTGAGTTACAAGTTCGCCCCGCCCGAGGTTAGACCCGAAATTTTACGAGCATGCTGCACGCTCGATGTATGGAGCTTAGCAGTGTGGCGGTGTGCTGAGGGTTGCCAAATGTTTGTCAACATTCTTCTAGTGTTTCCTTCAAAATGGTATACATTATTATTAAGATTTCTTTGTCGATGTGTACACTTCTGTGTAATTCATCTGCATATTCTATCTGTAGGTATACAATGTATATTTTCCAAGAAAATAGTGATAAGTTTATAAACGATAAGATTTTAAGAAATATAAGATAAACTCGTGATATTGGCAGCCCTTGAGTGATTAATGCAAATAGATTGTAATACTAACTTAGGCGAAAACGATAAAGTTCTAATGATACGGATTGATTGCTAAGGAGTTGGGACGCACGCAAATAATAATGACGGCCGTAGTAAGTGACTCAACATTATCATGCCACTTTAGACCATGCAATGAAGCAATTTGCCAGTTCAGCTTAATCATCAAATATTTAACAAAGCCTACGATAAGATTACTCGAGTAGCTCATTAACATGACAGTTGAAGTGTTTTTAATACTTAGGTAGGTAACTGTTTCATCACTCGAAAAAGTCGTTGTCCCATCTCCTTCCGCTCTTATGTAATTATTTATTTGTAATAATAATATGATTAATAGACGATACTAACTTAAAAATAACTTCTTAATATTCTATTGACTGAATGTTACTCTTTCTACTATCAAGCTTTTGTATTACCATAATATTCTTGATTGTAATTGTGGATGGTAATAGTCTTCGCATCTATAATTTCTAACATATCGTTGAGTGATACTAACGTCTGCCTGTCGTGTTTGTTGTTTTAACATAATTGGGATTGTACATTTACCTCTGTTTTATTTTTTTATCAATTTTCTTTTCTAGATTTGTAATAATATCCTATGTCTGGCCAATAACGTTCCTTTTAAAAAAATCATTCTATGTAGACATAACTGTTCTGAAATTAATTCATCCCATCTAGATTTTGTAACTGTAATTCAGTGAGCCAGTGTAACGTAATGTCTCATATTTTCAAACAGCAACTTCAAATGAACGATGACGCCGCATCCGGAATACATTTCATTGTATCACGCGGGAGTAAACGAAGTAAGAAAGAAGACCGCAATTCTATGGGGTCAAGCAATTCAATGGCGTCATTGCAGCAGACACCCATGACACGGAACAACTCTGTCACCTCCATGTTGAAAAGGTTGTTCTCTAAAGAGGAACAGAGGACGGGCACAACGCCCCCGGTCAATTCGCAAACAGACGGAGGTTATTATTGTCATTGTCTACTACGATTATTGTATTATTTCAATCTAAGTTTTAGCGATATTTAGTACGTTACCAAGATAATACAGATACTTTTACTGTAGGAATACATTTATGCAAATAAAGACTCGTATGAAAGTCATCTGGTTGATAACCAGAGCAGAATGTGATGTTATATTTTTGATGTCACGTTACAGATAATTTACTTTTTTTTAACGATATTCCAATAGTTTTTCATAAGAAGGACGACCAGCTGAGCGACCGACTAACTCTAGTCTTGATTCTAGCTATAGGTACGTCATCTTAGCGATGTGATGACGATATTTCGTTTCATGTGACTCTATTCGCACTGCAGTTCATCTTATATAACAACTGGAAAATTCAAAATCTCAATTTAAACCGATTAACCACAAAAATTACATGCTAGGTACTTCGGTACATTAGGTACCTATAATAATTTTCTGTAGCATGAAATGCTGTGTTTGTAGCGTTAAAAAACGAATGTGAATGTAATTTTTTTGGCAATGGCCTTCTAGACACTTTGTTTTGTGCCATGAGTCATATCCGCGACGGTCTGTCTTTTCATTAACTCTTGTGTTGGCCAAATTTTAATGTTAATTATACTTGTAAAAAGATAATAGCGATATTTACTTGGCAAATTACACGAATTTGCAGTTTTAAAAAAATCGTGCTACCAGATGTGGTTTGGTGACTTGTTATTTTAGTCTACTCCATGTTTTAGTCACAGAATTTTGTAATGGTATTACGTGTTTTGTCCTTTTCCTGATATATCAGTAAATTCATATAAATACCTAAAGCGCCAAGTATCGTATAACGATATAAATAACACCTTATTTACGACACAGAATTATTAATTTAATATTCATTTTAAATTCGAAGTATGAAGGACAATTATTTAGAATAATTTACCATATTCTTACCTATATCAACCAGTTTGAATAAAACGAGTCTAACATTATTATAATTTTTGGTATAGTAAATTTTAGACAGAGTCGAATGAAGAATGTGTCATTATTTGCGATGTGATGTTTTATTTCAGGCTCCCGATTTACTATATCAGCGAGTAATCCGACTCTAAATAAGCCAGCCACGGCCGGCGGGGGCAGCATGAAGATTGCCAATGAGGTCATAGAGGAAGTGGACGAACAAGCTACTATTACCAGCATGGGCAAGCGACCTGATACCAGGTATGTTCATTGGACATTTCCATACTGATATTGTAAAGAGGTTACATTTTGTTTTTTTTTTTCACTGAATATGTTACGAAGCTACTGCATCAATTTTTTTTATCTAAAAATTCTTCACCTGTTTCGTATGCAGGTGATATATGATATACCTAATTTACACGAGGGAAGTCGCGATAAACAGCTAGTATTTCATAATAATTCTTCAAATGGAAATACGATCACAAAAAAGTCTTTGACCTATAGTTTTTATGGTAATTAATTTATATTCAAAGGTTATTGACCTCTACTTCCCGCCCTCTCCATGGCATATTATGATTGCGTGTCGTGATTCGTGAATGGGTCGTAATTTTCATTGAATGGTCATAAAAAACGTGTAAAGCATCTGCAATACATTAAACTAGATGAAAGTACCTACTTCGATTCGTATAGACATTTTATAGTATCTTCCTTAACACTATAAAATTGTGCCCGTAATGGAATTGGTTAATGAGAAAATTTACTGTTTTCTATTTATCCACGTATTTTTAACAAGATTTGTATACATAATGTAATAAAAAATGAAACACCTTAATTTAGCCGCGATAATGAATGAGCGGTATACTGTTATTCATTAGAGCGGCTTACTAACTAAAAACTTGTATTCGTTTTTGTATTCTTCATAATCAATTATTGTAAAAAAGTTAAATATACCTACTATTATTAATGATAAAGATACGTAAATTTTAAAAATCTATTAGAAATATATCTTTATCGCATAATCAGTGAAAATTAAAAATCATATAATTGTGACCAATTTGTGACTGTGTGTTACCTTTTTATTTCAGACCCACTGCAATGAGTTTGTTCTCAGCTCCTGCACCTAGTGATCCAGTTGATGTGCCTACCAACAATTCTGTTCATAGCAATGGTAAGATATTTGATGTGGACAAATTAATTAATTTGTAATAAACTATAACATTAGAGATAGATAGATAACGCTCGGTCTTTTATACTATGAGATATCCTTCAAAATATAAATAAACGTATTCTGATTTTTATGAAGTTTTCAAGGACTGCTTGTTGCTACCGAAAAGGGTTTAGATAAATTATAGTAAATATATATAAAAACAACTATGAAAATAATTATGTTTGTTCAATGCCGATTGATGACTCAGGCCTTGACTCAATGATGTCATCGACAATGTCATTGCATAGTAAGAAACGCCTGACATACAAGCATAAAATTAGTTTGAATTCATCAGAGAAGGATAATGTCTAGCCACTCTTTTTGATTAATAAAACAATATAACATTAAAAAAAATGATCGAGATCTAATTATAGCCATGCCACACAGTGGTGTAATTTTAATAGATACGGATGCTGACGTCATTTCAGACACCTATTTTCCATTTTTGGTTTTGCCCGCTGTTAGGCTCATTATCTACTGTTTGCAGTTTTCTTACTTAAATTTATGTAAACAGAAATTATTCACGTATTAGCTCCGGATATGCTCTACCCTACCCAAAGATTTCAAACTTTTATGATTTAACGAGTAACTTAGACGCTAAATTGATAAAAAAGATTACATCAACAGTCATCGTTCATCAATTTGCCCAGTGAAATTGCCAGTGGAGTTTCACATCTAAATGAGAAATAATACAGGACGTATTATAATGTATATATAAAACTATATTAATAAATCATTCTGTATATTGATGAAAAGCGCTTTAAAATCCATTGATCTTAGCGTACAGACAGCGGGAAACGACTTTGTTTTATAGTATGTATTTTAAAGATAAAGTTTTGCGACAGATTTTGTTTTAAATACATATTTTTAAACACTAATGCTCAACCGAAATAAAACGACCAGAGCGCACATTATATCGGCGACATTAACTGGCGTGCGAGTCTCTCCACCATGGCGTTTGTATAAAGTCAATAGGGATGACTACAAATTTTTATTTGTTTGTCCGTCAAGTAGAGTGTTGAAAAATATTAAACACTTATTTTTTTTATTTTTTTCGTAATCATAAAATAACGGCGTTACATGGAGTTGAAATTTCGCATGCGTCACGCTATGGTACGTTTTCTACAAAACTGTGACGTTGCGAGCCCTCAACTTTAATGCCTGTTATCTAAGCTATTTCTCATGAAATTGAAGTAAAAAAAAATACGTATCTAATATTTTTCTATTATCTGACTGACGGACTAAATAGAATTGCATTTTTTTTACCCAGTCGTCATCCCTATTGTGTCGACAGATCATAGATTATCGTCATCAGCGCCGACACAATGGTCTCGTACCAAAGACGGCGAGGATCTCAGCCCGGCGGTACAGTCGCTGACGACGCAACCGTCCTTCGCTAGTTTCGCTTCTCAACGCCCGCGACTCGACAGTGATGTTGGACCATCGCTCAGTGCTGCCGGCAGTCAGATACTCAGTAAGTACCGCCGGGTGTATTGGCATAATTACGTATCATCGATTAAGGCAACACTCTCCGTGAGTTGCACAAACGTCCATTAAGGTTTAATGACGCCTTTAAGCACCAATGAATGTCAAATTTGTATAGGTAATGTCACTTTAAACTAATGAACATTTTAATGAACGTTTGTGCAACTGGCAGTCTGCCCTTTTTATTTTCTGATTCGTTGGTTTAGGTTTTCGCTATTGCATAAGAAATTTCTTGAGGAAGACTAATCGGTTGTAACGCGTAGCACGGGTTATTTCGCTAGTGAATAATATAACACAGAATCAGTATACAAATTAACTTATGTTTAAACTAAACGCACAGTAGAGCTCGACTAGGCAGCTTTGTATCTTATGTATTTCGATAATTCATTATGTTTTGCTTTATTTTGAAATCTTAAAAGCGGTTCATATATTGAATAGAACCTATATTTATCTATTTGGTCCCACTTTTAAAGATTACTTCGGTTCTATCTTTTTGTAACGATAGGGTGACGCCACACTCACGAGCTTTGTTAAGTACCTTCATATTAGATACTAGACACTCGTAGAGATAGTCTGTTGGTATGATGTGTTTGTTACATAGAACTTATAACAGTTACAGGGTACACACCTGTAAATATAACAGTTCTCTATAGCTATCGTACCTACTGTTACATGGGTGTTAATGTAAATGATGTGATAAGATTACAAGTTCTATCAAAATAATAAAAAAATGATAACTCTTAAAAGCTGTTCTGACGCGTTCCGTAGATAAAAGTTTTAAAATCGATTCAGTAATGAAATATAAAACTTGAAATCAACGCTGATAACCTTTAAGAATGTTTTATACGGTATGGTGGCTTTGGTATTATAACATTTTTTTACTATGATTATAAATATTTCAGTGGACGAGGTAGACGGCGTCGAGGACACTGACGACTTTGAACGCCTACGCAGTATCAGAGACCAACGTCGTCGCGATAAATATCTGCAAAAACTTATGGCCCGCTCTGTCAGTGCACAGCAGGTAATTAATTATCGGTCATATGATATTATGAGCGTGAGTGATCTTAATTTCATGCCAGCATCCGATTTGTTTCGAAATATCTAATATATACCTACACACAATATGCCACATGTCTTAAGTTGTAGAAGCCATTCACCGAGCAATTACTGAGAAATAAAATGCACAATTGCAATTGATTTGAAACTCATATAGCGTCAGACTAAGGCTTAAAATCGTTCGGAGACATTCTTTATTTACGTTCTTACATAATAATTTTCCATTAAACAGGGGGAAGAGGTTTTCCCAATTATTATTTTAGAACCTAGTGGTCGAAATAGTAATTATATTTTTTACCTAATAGATGACGCCTAATCTATCTTATCACGCATCCTCCTTAACCATCCATAAGGAAGGCCTGAGCCCCTGCAGTGGGGACGTAAAAGGGCTGATGATGAATCTATCTTAATGCATGACCTTTCTATTCGCTTTTAATCTGTATTTTAGTAATAATATGTTTTTATTTTTTACAGACTACCGGCAGCACCGAATTGATAGACAACGATTTATTGTTAGAAGAATTATTAACGCAGTCGGGTGCATTGAAAAATAATGATAAATCAAAAGAAGATAGCAAAGAGAACAATACTTGACACAGTAGTTTTATATTTCAGTGGGACTAAATTTATACAAAATGCAATATAAATATACAGTATTAGAAAAAATGTGATAAAATGTAAATACAATGCAAGCTTACAATTCAATAAATTGCAAAGTTAGATATTTTATATTTACACCGTGTTTTATTCTGTAGGATGTAGGTGTACTATATAATAGATTTTTTATACTTAAGTCCTACGTGAAAATGCCAAATTAATTTACCTCTTTTTAAGCTGATTTTTAGTAAAACATGAAACACGTCTTCGATAATTCTGTTAAGGAATGTTTATGAAAAATTTGAAGTAAATCGGGATCAAGGAATCACTTGTCTCCATACAAACTTTGCCCCCGTTTTTCATCCCCTAGGGATAGAATTTCACAAAATTTTTTCTTACCGGATGATTACGTCCTATAAAGGATACATCCTACAAATTTCAGGACTACGATCAGCAGTTTAGACTGTGTGCTGCTCTGTCAATTAGTCATTCAGGACAAAACATTATAAATGTATAAAGTTCACCTGTCAAGAGTAAAATAGATTTATAGTGTATCACTGTTTTCATAGATAACCAACTGATCATTAAAGAATCATTTCATAATATTAATTATAATCAGTTTACTGAACTGATCACACCTCATAAAATTAAATATAATCACATATATCTAACACTTTTGTAACTTATGTATTTCAGTACTGGTATTCATTTACATACAATGACGATATTACTAGTGTCTGCCTATCCAATGGAAACATTTCAATCATTTCCGTGGTCATTAGTCTTTTTATGGGTTCCAAGTTCCGATAAACTCCTCAAGTTTAGTATGACTTTTAATTAAATAAAAAAAAAAATAATAATAATAAACAAGGTTTAGCTTTGGAGTAAATTTACACAAAGACTACACTTTATATTAGTCAAAATTCATATTATTAAACAAAGACTTGGCAAAGGTTAACCTAGTGAGAGGTTCTATGGGAGCGTAAATTTACTGTGACGCTAAACCTTGTTTATTAATAGCACTGTAAAAGCTTTACTGTTTGTATAAAAATATATTGAATGAAAACTGACAATTGATTAATAATGGTCACTAGAACTCGTATTATAAAAATCTCATACATTTTACACACAGCAAAAATTTTTTATTAGTTGTCACCAAAGTTACGCAATGGCCCTGCTATTTAATGGTAGTCAAATTAACGTTAAAATCTAATTTGTCCCCATAATAGAGGTCATAAAGTAACACACTGAGCAAATTAATAGTTATGTCCCTGACTGATAAATGCGGTTTCATCAATATATAATAATTCAAGAGGAAAGTTTTGTATGTATGATACAGTACCATGCAAATAATTATATATCTAGGGTAAATTTTGATTGATTTAAAGTGGAAAATCACTTGATTGATAATCACAATATGTAGGTGAGCAATGAAAAAGAAAATGTAATTTTGCAGAATATGTATTTCTAAGCTTAAATAAACGATATTAAAAGCTTACAGCTTAAGCTTAGTTCTTCTCCAGTGACGCCTTTTGGCATTGTATCTGAAAAAGAGAATTATTTTTTACATAATATTCTTAGGAAAAATTTGTTGCAAAGGAATCTGAATGTAAAATATAGAAATATACAGATTGCAAATTTACATCATAAATAAAAAGGCTTTCCTTTTTATATTACCAATATATAGGTAATCTTTTAACTAGAACAGATTTATATGAAGCATGACATCACAATAGACAACACATGAAGCATGTGAAACTCGATAAACACTGTCTAAACTAACTGTCACTTTTCTAGGTTAGAGAGAGATATTGTATAGGAAATACGTAAGAAAAGTGTAGTGTTTCTAGAATATACTACACATGCATGTAGTTTACAATACTAGACAAAAGCTATGCTAATTTTCTAAATACATTGGTCCACCTAGTGTTTTCATTCATTTTACAACTTCATTATAATATAGTAATAGATAGATAAGTGCAAGTTCAAATCCTTGTGGCGTAGAAGAATTGTTTATTGTATGAACAAATTTACATCCTATTCATTCATAAATAAGGTTCACAACAATCTTTTGGTGACTGCATTAGAGTATAACCATTATCAGTTTATTTACAAAGAGAAATCTATTTACCTTTCTACAATTAATTTTATCCAAAACTAAGCTTTAAATCTGATATTAATATTCTGGCAGCAGTTCATTGCACAAACCTCCATTAAAATTATCATTAGTTTAAAGGGACCTCATCAATACAAATTTGAGTTTTCATTAAAGCTTAAAGGTGTTGTTAAACCTTAATGGATGTTTGTGCAGCTGACCAATAGTCCATTTGATAAATAACTAATCAAGCAAAAAGTGAATCAATTCAATGTCCAAATTATGAGAAATATGTGGACAAACATACAAGATACATCTACAAAAATGTAGCACACATATTAAGAAGCCTTATTATAAACCAACATATACAAATATTGTGCTTTAGAACAAACTTACAACATACAAGTCTAACTAAAAACCTCAATTCTTTAAAGACAGTTATAAATGTACAGGTCAAATTGATAACATCTTTTTAAGTTGTTAAAACTAAATATTTTGACGAAACTTGTAGTATTCCCAAAGTTGAAAGCTAATTAATTAAACAAAAAAAGAATCATTGCAATGCAATGGTTTGTTTTAAAGATATTTGTAGGCAAACATAGATGAATATTATGCCCTTATAATGAAATTATATACATACACCATGAATTGATAACCTCCTTTTTTTGAAGTCTTAAAACCTCCACATTTCTGGCTAAGTTGTAAGTTATACAGTAGAAGTTGCTTACTTCTTTCTTAAATATTAATGATTTATTCAAACCAATAGACTGACTTACTACTAGACTAGACTTGGATTGGTATATCCAAGAAATGAAATATATTAATGTAAAATTATTCTCATACAATATACAGTAGAAGCTACTTATTTCATTCTTTCTTACATTTGAAGAATTTATTCAGAGTAAAAAAAAAGCATTGGCATACCAATCTATGAAATTAACAAACAAAATAACTTGTAAAATTATTCTCATGTTTAAAAACAGATTTTGTTCATTCCGAATTGAATGACTTGACATCAATCTAACTACTATGCTTGGAATAAGTATGAAAACATAGTAACTACTAAGTTCTGGAGCTTTGGATTTATCGAACAGTATCTTGTTTAGATTGTTTATTTTGAAATAGGAAGTGACAGTATAGGATAAAACAGGTACTATAGAAAGTACATTTACGACAAATAACTCGTGGTCATTTATTGAATTGGACATTAGATAAAATAAATATTTTACTTACCGAATGGTGTTTCCTGTACGCATTCTAACCCATTGAGGAATGGGTCGATTTTGTTTCAGTTTCTTGGCAAGCTTACGCTTGATAATAAAGGTCTTGTGAGCCGACTGTAACGGAAATTATTAAAATTAATTAGATATGATATATAAAGTAGCATTGATTACTTAGATTTTACAGGATTTATATTAATCACAAACCATCACGTCTCTTCCTCCTCAGATGTCAAAATAAATGAACGAGGCAAGCAAAGACAGTAGTAGTATTATAATTCGTCCATGGGACAGGCGAAGGAACTAAGCCATACAGCCAAATCTTGGATACAAGCAAAGACAACACACCAAAGAGTAAACATCAGTGTTGCCACTATTGAGTTTCGATTTCACCCTACTTTTTTTACAATTTCCCTAAATGAGGTAGGTTTAAAAAAAAAACATTAGTTCCCGAAATCAAACTAGATGTCGTTACAGTACGTTCTGGATTTCTCCATGACAATCCTTCCAGTTTTCAAAACTCTATAAACAACTCATATTCTATTTGTACTTTTTCGTATTTGTATTGATATCTAAGTTTCAAACATTGCAAATTTTAGTTTTTTAATATGTTGGTTAAAAGGAACGGAAATGACTGTATTTGTTCCACTCGTTTCCTGCAAAAATCAACTTTTGCTAGAGTCGCCATCTAGTGGAGGTGCTTTTTAGTGCTTTTCTTTTTTTTTAATACTTTCTCATTAAGTAATTTTATTTTTTTATAATTAATTAGTATTCATATCAATTCATGATCACGTGAATAAAAATTTATATTTTTGTGTAGTATCATGATTAGTAAGTTAAAGGAGAATGTTTTTTTTTTGTACTTTATTCCAAAAAAATCTAACTACTATAAAGAAAATAATCATAACACCTAGACCCAATGCTCTAGCTTTCATCAAAGTTTCAGACCTGAAAATAAAACTGGTATGTTTGCCTACAAACATACCAGTTTTATTTTCACAGCCATTAAACTCGATTTAAGAAACTAAAACGCCTCAAATTAATACAAAGGCAAAGGGATCTTTGTCTACTGCCTAATTTTCGGTAGGGTACTGTGGGACAATTACGAAAGCGGAGAAATTCCGATAATCATAATAAACAAAAAAGAAAATATTTGATGAAATTAAAAGCTTTTTATCTAGTAAAAGCCTGTTTAATAGTCAACTTTAGCGACACAAAATGCCTGATTTGTTGTGAATTCTTCACTTTCAGGGTTTGCCTGTTTTGGGTATTACTCCAAAGCACTTTATTATAACTTAGCATCCCTAGTGAGCAAATAATATAATAATATTGTGAAAATCGAATTAATAATTTATTAACTATGTATTTATTAAAATAAGCTACGCATCGAATAGACTCAAATCGACGATCATCGTTGACAAGCTGTCTAAAATATAAATAATTAATAGAAAATAAAAATAATGATTCTACATTGTCCAAATAGGTGAATTCACAGCATGAATTGGAACGAAACTTAGGGGTGGGGTTGCCATTGATTTTCTTAATGCACTTATGTTATGCTACATAAATTATAAAATATCCACCAAAATTATGTTCAAATCAGAAAATAAAACATACTTTATGCTTGGTTAGAGATAATTTGAATAAAGTATCAACTTCCATACAAAGAAAGTTCTCCTTTAGGGTACCCGCACCATAAGTATAAGATTTAAAATAATGCAATTATCTAAACTGCTTCAAAATTCAGTTTCTTGGCACATCACTGTTGACGTTATATTACAGTTTATGTTTACGGCTTACTTGACTTACGATGGCGCTAGTAAAAATGTCACAAAGAGTAGTATGATATAAATGTCATCTGTCATTTGTATGGAAGTGAATATTTTGTTGATCTATGTTATTTATTTTAATAGTAAATTCTAGAGAATTTAAACTTGTGTTTTTTATAATTTCCCCAATAACTCCGGTTTTGCTTTTACCAACATGATTATAAATAAATTATTAGGAGCATTTGGATATAAACGATTACTTCAATGTCGAACTCTAACTTCTAGACTAACAGCTGATGGTAAAGTAATACCTAAAAAGAAAAACTTAGAGAACCGTATTACTTTAATAGGAGCCGATAATTCAGTTAGTATAACAGATTTAAGAAATGCGGAAACTTTATCGTTAAGAAGGGAATTAAAGTTGGTTAAAATACAAGATGTGGATTCGAAAACAAGGCGACCAGTTTATAAGTACATAATTTTTATTTTGTAATAACGTTTTTGTGGGAAGTTTTGTAGAAAATTATTATTTGGATAATTTCCAGATTAATGTCAAATACTGAATATCATGAAGAAGAGTTAGAAAAAAGAAAAGAGAAGCAGGAGGCACGTCAAAAAACTTCTATAAAAGGGCAGAAACTAATGAGTATTTCGTCAAAAATAGGAGAACATGATTTGATGACATTCATAAAAAAAATGCTGAAACTTCTTGAAAAACAATATGAAGTCAAAGTAGTTTTATCCTATGATAGTCCAGATGGAGAACAACTGTGTGTAAGTATTAGAATAAAAATATATATATATTAATATTTTAACAGCGCTGTTCGCAATATCAATAAGATCCTAGATGCTTGTTTATCTTCTTGGTATACTATAATTACACTGCCTACTTCATTTATAAGTTTAAGTAGTTATAGTCATGGGATCATGAGTTATATCGATTGTTAAGATTTACATACCGTGACTAGGAAGCAAACGCATAGTAACCCCCAACCCAACTATGATTTTCAGAGGAGAATATTTTTTAATTTAATTCTTATGGACATCCATGGTAACCCTTACTTGATTAATAAAAAATAAAAATTTTAATTGAAAAAGTACACAGTTATTCTGCATGAAGACCAATTTTGGGTTTGCAGGGTACAGCTTGTTTGCTTTTCAGCATCAATATGTATATTCTATGAGTATCAATATAGGCTTATTATTATTAATTAACAATTCACATAACAATGTGTATGTATTTTATTTAGTATTGCAAACCCAGTATTAGAATGTTTTCAAAATAATTATTTAAAATTGATCAAGCTTTACCTTAATCTCTAGGTTTATTCCACTTATCTTGAAGATCTATTGTGACAAAAATAATAATTAAATATTTTTTTTAGGAAAAGATGTTTACCATTATTGAAAAAAATACAAAGTCTTCGGGTAAAGTTGTACAGAAAAGGAGTAAGGGAACCAATTTACGGTTTCAGTTGCTGCCCTTCAGAGAGAATTCAACACAAACTGATACTGAACCACAGCCTAATCAAAATGGTAATGATAAGGGACCTCTGTGACTAGTGATAATTATCTTTGGTATTTTGGTTGTGAAGTACTCAATTTTTAATGTTTATCTTCATAAAATGGAGAACGAAGACAAACAAATAACAAAACAACAAAAGTTAAAAGATGTTTTTTTATATAAATACTATACAAATAGGGATAAATAGCAATTATATTTTTGTTTGTATATTGAAAATTGAAAAAAAAAGTTTTATATAAAATAGATTTATGACTTGCATTATGATTGTAAATAAAACATTAAATGGAAATAAATGAAATTTATTACAGCACACATTTTCTAATCAGTCACATTTGCATACATACTACAACATGTACTACACAAACACACAGTTAAACATTACAGATGGCAAGGAAATACATTAATCTAGGTATTGTGGTTAGGTAAAACTAAAATTATAAATAAGTTTTTATTTTTATCAGTTGGAATTATCACAGATGCTTTAGAGATCTTTAAATCTTAATTGGTAGATGATTATTAACTAACAAAAGTGCTAGTGTGAAAACAGATATTTAATGGTATATATTTATGACATGTTTCTTATTTCATAAACAATTAATGAAGATTCTGATTATGTATCCTTTTCTAATACAATATCTTTATTATAAATATGTAATACATAGCCAAATCATATACATAATTTGGACTTTCCCACATGTTTAGATGCAACCTATTTGTATAAAATAATTCAGAGTCCATAATAAATTGTAATTTAAAATTATAAATTTTTAATTGATAATTGACTCACAATCTCTTGTTCCTTTAAAAATGTTGGCAAAGTTTAAGAAAGAGTTATAACCACAATCTGTTTGAACACAAGATAGCAGTATAGTAAAATGTTGTTGATTATCTAAATTTTGGCAGATCAGTGTTACCCATTATTACCATAACATGAGTTAATGTACATTATGCTAGCATAGCATAAGAAAGAAGGATATTTAATAAATCAAGTAAACTCTTGACTTTCGATATAGCTTAAATCAAGTGTACAACCAACAATTAATAAACGTAATTTAAAGTAGTACCTAACCTGTCAAGAACAAAAGACTTTATGTGAGTCTTTGGTTAAGAAAGTTTCTGAACACAGTTGAGTCTTACATTATTTTGATTTAATTATTTTAATTTCACTAACTTGCAGGAGAAGGCTTACAACTACAAAAGTTAAACATATGAACACAAGCGATTGGCCTCTTCCTTCATTTTCGAAGGTTGTCTATAGCTTTGGACCTTCAAGTCAGGTCACGTCTCTAGGCGATAAATAGTTTTTGTATAGAATTGAGTCACCTCAATTTATGTATAGATGGCAACATAAGCATATCGATCTTGTTCTATCGGTGGCAAGTCAGTGTTGAGAGTTCTGCCCCAAGTCAGCAGCGGCGACACGGTGCCTACTACGGGCGCAGCGCGCACTGCATTTTTTATGAGGTTCTGAAATAAAAGTATTATAAATTTATTTATTATTTGAAATCAATGGCAAGATAATGTAAAAGTTATTGACGCTATGAAGTTAAGTCATCAGAATGTGTCTGGTATGTATGGTACCAGATTTGATACCAGGTTGACATGACGACCAATAAAGTTTTTGTGTGCTCATGCAAATAAATTTAAATGTTATTTATAGAAGGAGTTTATAATAATAATAATAAAATACTTTATTGCACTCAATATGATACATAGTTTACAAAAAAGCTTATGTAACTGAAATTATGTAACTGAGACTGAGAGTTTATGTAACTGTATTCTGAAAATCTTTGAGTGCTCTTTAGAAGTATTAAGTACATACTCATTTACATTATGCCCTTCTCAGCTCTCGTGGTAGGCAATAGAGAAATTCATTATAGTAATTATATATTTGAGGTTCTAACTAGATTCAGAGACCTCTTCTCTAAAGGCTATGCGTAAAAACAAACACTATCAGAATAAATTAGTATGCGAATTGGGCGAAAAACTATTTTCAATTAATTACTCTCAATCTATTACGACGTAAATTTGTTGCATATATGAACTGATTAGCTACTATGGATTAACTTGAAATATCAGTGTTTTTGTAATACTACTTAATCCAAATTAAATGCTACATCGAAACGGGCCTAAGTAATGAAGATAAAAACTAATCGTTCCTTGTTTGTATTAAGGTCGTATAACAAGTTATAATTACCTATCATATCTATATGTCTACTGAAAATAATTGAGAATACAGAGTCGTGGTCAAACCACAAGAAATTTAAATAAATTTTGATAAATTTAAGAATTGTATTTAAAGATATCTACGGTTGGTATTATACGGTGGGTATATGCTTCAACTATATTAAATTAATTAAAATGAAATATTAAAAGTTCTTAAATAAAAATATACATTGTTACAAGAAAATATATAAAAACGTTATGTTTGCACATTTTAATTAGTAGTCAACCTAGGTCCTGGACCCAGCCCAGGGAAGTCATGACCCCCATGATCCTCCCCATGAATCCGCCCTTGGTGACTACCTATACGCTATATATTTAGGTGGGCGAAGCCGCGGGGAAAGCGGTTATGATCGTTATTATAAAAACAAAAATGCTAATTTGATATTGATATTTTTTATGAGATCAACTCACACCCGTGAGCTTCAAATCATAAGAAAAAAATTTTGAAAACCAGTCCACAGTCCTCAGTGAAGTCGAACTTAGAATCACTTGATTTTGTGTAGTCTGTTAAAAATAACGTGAACGTAACATCATGATTCATGCTTCTATGTTAATAATGTTTGATTAGTAACATGCAAAGCGTTAATATGAGGATTAGTAAATCGTCGTTATCTTGTTCTCTTATAACTTTTTAATAAGTAATTTACAATAAAATATAAATAATAATTAGAAGGCCAACGGTAACAGTAAGTAATTTGGATGAAAATCTAAATACTTAAAGAGGTATAAAATTGGACATTAAGAATATTCGGAGCCCTAAATTCGCTCGACAGGAAAATCAGACAACAGTGTATCTGGCACGCGCAGGAAAGGGAGTCCGTAGTTGCATGACTGTCTCACATTTCAATGATGACTTTTATATCGAACATCAACAAGCCACTTCATATATGCAACTTTTAATAGATTTTATTTCTCAAGTATATAGAAGATAGGCATGGTTTTGCTACCTCATTACTTTCTAAAAACTTTCATGTATCGACGTAAATAGGTAATACGAGTGGTAAGTAAAATTACCAGTTTTCAAATAATACTATGCCAACGGCAGATGGGCGGTTTGGAACAAACTTGGGTTTCCTCGTCGAGTACCGAACCATAAAAATGGTACCTATAATAAATGTTGAAATAAACGCGAGCTCCTAGGCAAGTGGAGTTAAGAGTTTTATTGTAAATATCTTAATAGCAACGATTATCTTGATAAACGATTTCAAGAAAGTAAGATGTTCTCAATTAAGGTTCTTTTTTAGATTCAGAATAACGATTGAGGTAGGTACCTACTCCAGAAAAACGATTGAAATAAGAATCATCTGTAACTTGATGGCATGTTAGTTAAAGTTTACAGAGAACAAGTGAACGACAAAGGACGGACACACCATGTTACCCATGATAGAGGTACGCCGCCGGCCCGAGCGCCTCTTACGCCGGCACCAACAGCGACGCCTCCTTGCGCTCCCGTACCCGCGACTTCGTTCGCGTCCCACCTCACGCCTTGTCTCGCTCAATTCCTTGCTTTTCTTGTAGCTCGTTTGTGCGATCATAGCAGGCGGCATGTTGCCACCATCCTCTGCCGAACGGTCCGCGATCAAATGTGCTTCTAAAACCCCTAACGGTGATTCTGAGCTAGAATAGAAGTAAACTTGGTTAGGTATTAGGTTGATATAGGGTTTATGTATAGCTCAAAACGCAAAACTGCATAGGTACATTTCGGCTCTCTTTTCCAGTCGGATAATGCGTGAGCCTAATTCTATAGAAGTCTGCCAAAATGTCAGACTTGTGTTTTATCGCAGTGTAGTTTGAACTTTATAGTAAGACCAGAAATAGAACGAAAATAATTATCTTGTACCGTAGTTTTTAAAGTCAAGCGAACATTACCAAAGAATTTAAAAAAAAAATTTTGATTAACTAGATAAAAAATGCGTTCTGGTTTTAATGGACTGCTACTTACTAAGCGCTGACTGAGCAATATTTACTAAGCTGTTCCCACGTGCAACCGATTGTACAGCACTCATCTGCTATGCCCAGCTGTCGTTTCCGTCTAGCCAATGCTCCATGTTCCACCACTAAAATTTGAAAGCAGCAAATATTAGATGTCACGTTATATTTATGGTTTATTTCATCATCAGCCTATTAATAACCCCACTGCTGGGGCTCAGGACTATGGATGGAATCGACTCAAATCAAATAGGGAGTGTGGTTTGATGGGTGTTAATGCCTGCGGATGCAGCCGGGATCAACCTCTCTTAAACGAGCTCGAGACGATAAATTTTTAGCCATCTATCATATGATTGCCATTGCGAAATTTGTTTAACAATCGTATCGTAAACCGAGCGTGTGAATCACTGCGCCATCGAGCGCATAAGACTATGATAGAGATAAAGATAGTAAAATCAAACAAAATATCGCCATAAGATAACGCTAGGAAATGCGTTACGCATACTCGCTTCACGAGTTATCTGGGACTCTCCTGCGGACTCACCCCCAGAATGGAGGCTAGTCAGATAGCAGGGGCATACCCACTAAAACCTAGCGATGTCCCTCACGACAAGGACGAGGCCCGGTAACGATCCCAAAATGGGATCGCCTGCCGAACTACTTGCTCTCGTTTCATGTCCCCTTCTGGGGTGGTTCCCACCACGGGCTAGAGACAGGGCTCAGGAACATTCGATGTTAAACTTTACGTTTCAAGTCGGTTTTTACTGTCTATAACTTTTAATTCTGCTTTTATTGTAGTCCACGCCCACGTTATATGATTGTCATTTATTATAAGTTTTATTTATAATTGAGTTATTAGTGGAACTGACTTTTTGAACTTTGTGATATAATTATCTGAACATATTAATGTATGTACCTATGTATTTTATAGATATTTTTTGTACATTTTTATTGTGTATGATTCATTTAAAAGTATGCGAATTGTCATCTTCGGTCATTGTTGGTTTACCACCCAGATAATGTTATTGACAACATTATTGCAATCGAATCGTAACGACCTTCTCATTTGAAGCGATAAGATTAGTTGCCTCGCGGATGTTCAATTACTACATCTATTTATATACAAAGTTAAGGCCTCGAAATCATTTGTTTGTTTTTAATTATACCTAATTATTGTCAACTCTCACATTAGCAGATGTAATTAGCGATGTCAATATAATGATTACTGATAATGCGTTTGTGAACCCGAAAGCTTATTAATATTAAAAACAATTATCATTAAAATTGTATAGTGAGAACGATTTGCCTAGATTCACATTTACTGCAATGTAACATGATACTGGCAGTGAGTGGCGTTACATAAAGTCGTGCCTTGCGTGACCGATGTTTTGTTGGTAATAAATCTAGAACTATATACATATCGCAGTCCCGGTGCGACACTGTCACTTATGCAAAAATTTCGTTTTTCAGGAGAAGAGTTTTAAACTCTGACATTTCACAAAACAATGATTTTAGAAGATATAAATGAGATGAATCATACGGAAACTATGCGTACTACAAAAGTAACATTATCGCACCAAGAAAAGGGATGCTTTAGGACAATTATTACATATTTAACTAATTTTTGTATTTCTTGCAAAAGTGACAGTGTCGCACCGGGGGTGCGATATAATGATCGGATGAAAGTGTCAAATCCATGTTTTTATAAATAAGTACTGACGCTCAACACGTGAATTACGATATTGCTTTGGGCCACGAACGTGATGTGGAAAGATACTTTCCACGCACAGATTCATGTCTTCCTGACTTATAAGTATATTTTAAGTATTTTATTGATATTTGTCTCAATTGTAATAGTAAGCACATTTAGATACCACATTACACATTTAGTTATCTAAAGAGAATGTAGGATTTCCTTATTTACAAATATAGCTTTTCATTTATTGAACTGCAAGATCTGGGTTACAAAACAACAAAGCTATAAAGATACAATATAGGCACGCATTATACTTCATAAACGATATAATTAGCTTTATATCGTAAATTTTCCGTTAGTAAAAAATCTGGCAAACCAAACTGTAAGAAACTATCTCCATGTTTGACTGAGTGACTGAGAGAAATTTTTGGTTAATTTTCTACTAAGTACCATTGTTAATTAGGTATTGGTATTATCTTTAAATATAGTATTATAAACGGGACAGTTTGTTTGTTTCTCCTTCTTTCTCATTGCAACAGAGCGACTAGGGCATATTTTTTTGGATAGAGATCTGAAGAGAGTTGATAGGCTGAATTATTGAGCAAGTGACAGCTAGTTCTTTGGTAATGCGGTCAAAACCCTTGTTAACGAGCTACTCTTATATTTAAATCTAGCTGTTTTCCCGCGACTTTATCCACGTAAATTATGTATGACTAAGCTTGTAGTAGGTGAAAGAATCTTTCAAACCGCTCCTGTAGTTTCGGAGCCTATTCAATGTTATGCAAAACAATCAAAAAACGAAATCTTACTTCTTTATATATTAGTTAGGTGAGAAATTTGACTTACCAGTAGGTACGTCCCAAGAGGGACTATTGTACGCGTAGCAAACTTTACTCATGATCTCGCCGAGTTGGCGGCCGCAAAACTTCAACGCCGAGGAGCGTGCGTCTGTACGCGTTTGCCACAGCAAAGCGGCCGCTAGGATTGCCAGCTGGTATGTTTTAATCAACACCATAATTGCTATGGATAAAAGGAAAAGAATTTTATCAGTCATGTTTGCTACATCAAAGCTAAGTAATAACTGTGACTTAAGTCGTCTAGTCTAACAGAAATAAAGTAATCAATGGAACTATTTGGATTTAGGTATCTCTTTACAAATCACACTCTTTGTAACAAATTAATTTTTAACTAAAATTGTCCAGTTATATTCGTTTTCAATTGAAAATTAATGGTCAATTTGCAACTACAGAAAACATAAAACAAAAAAAATATGCATTTGCAGAAACAAATAAATTACTTAAATAGTATTTATGAGAAACACTTGAATAATATAATCTTATAATAAAGAGTTTTGATTGGTACGTAAATTTCCTAGCTACTAATATTTAAAAACGTCGTAGTGACTCAATCTGTTTATATGCATCCACGCGAATTAACGTTTAAAAATATGTTAATATGTTTTTCTTGTACATATTTTTCCCTAAACTGTAAACTGTCTCTTCATAATATCAAATTACATCACAGCAAAGTTTGTATTATTGTAAAACAATAATAATAAATATTAATTTGTATAAGTACCTGATTTATATGGATTTATTATATGTACCAAAGTACCTTACGTATTGTGGTAAAAGTCTACTAAACACTTTTTTTTTAGTTTAAGATTCTTCATGTAATGCCAACTGGGCAATGACCGTAACTTGAGTAGTTCTCACTTTTATACCAAAAGGGTAAGTGAAACCCGACACCAGTACCGCCCTTGGTTAGTCCGCAGGTCCCTTGTAAATACATTTTTCATTTCCTAAATGCATAACATTTGAGGAAAATTGATCGGTAGGTAATATTACTTATTTGATTTGATAAATTCAATGATAAATAGTTTTATAGCGTTATTGACACCAGATACCTTCTTACAAATTTTCAATAAAAATCTTATTTGATTTCATTACGTTATCAAATCTTCAAGTGCAGTTGATGTTGAAGGTTTGGTCACAAGGTTTACTGCCAATTGCACAAACACCATTGTTTTGTCATTAGTTTAAAACGACATTATCAATATTTAAAAAAAATTTAGAACATTAATTAGAGCTTGAAGTCGTTATTAAACCTTAACGAACATTTGTGCGTGTTTGTCTTTTTGTAGTTTTATGAATAAGAAATAATCTTTGCCTCTAGACTTTGTATTTGAGGTTTATTCATAGTGTTCCGAATGAAGATGACTTCACCTTCCTTGTTCATAAAAATGCAAATCAGCTTCTTCCTTTCGTTAAGTGCCATTCCAAGAATAGTGTAGGGTGGGTGCTACATCAGTTGTTTTGTTAACATCATGGTGATGACTGTCTTATATTAATATCATATATTCCAGCGGGTTTTGGTTATAATTGTAAATGGTCGGTTCAATATAGAAAATGAACTTTTCTATATAGAGTCGGGTCTGGATACTGCTGATACCTTTGTTGTTTCTGATGTATTTGTAGACTTTTGTTACTTAACTTTGGATCTGAGCAATATTTGTCATGATTTAAAATGTATTTATATATTATATTAGGATAACCTACAATAATGTTGTTTCTATATAGAGCAGTAATTTCTGTTCACAAAGATGTTGTAGCATTCAAATAGTATAGAAGGTTACTCAGAAAAAGACTATAGGATACCAACCCATGCACCCAAAACTACCTTTCAGAATCGTTTTAGTCCTTATACATTCCCACATATTTACAATAAGTTTGTAAATGCCCTTCAAAATTAAAAATAAATCGACTCGGAAAATAAAAGTTTTGTTACCTAAGAAGGAAAGTGGAATTTGATAATAAGGATACTGAGAATCTGTTGAGGAATCAAAATAGCATACCAATCTCACTCTCTTATACACTCTACTCATCACTACACAGAAGCCAATTTATAATAATGTAAAAATGGTGTTTAAAAAGTAAGGATGAAATAAGTAAGTCGTGTTGTATTATAGTGTTGTTGTTGTGCCGTATTAAATGTAATATTTTTTTTGTAACTGGTAAAAAGCCATGGGTCAGGGTTATCCTAGAAAAGTTTGTTAATGCATCTATCTATATATTTAAACGAGTTTTAATTCACTGGCTGTTCTGATTTGTCTTTGATTAAAGTGTAATTTAATAAGTATACGTAACTACCGTTTTAATCCAAGCACATCTTGATCTCGATTAATGTCAGTCCACTATTAAGTAGGTAGGTAGTGCTAATTTGAAATATATGTCTATAACAAAGTTGCAAGCTAGTACAGTGGCTGTAATATGAGTAATGCTAATGGCACAAGGAAAATGAGGAAGATTCCGAAGAATTAAAATAGATTTGTGTTAGGTAGTTTCAGTTTTCAACAGGGAAATAAATGAATATTTATTAATAGATTTTGTCTCAATATGACGTTAAACTTATTCAATGTTTAAACAAAAATTACTGAACACACGGAAACCATTTAAAATATACAAAATATATCTATCTAATATGGAAAATCCTAGATACACAGCGACGACAAATTGGGGGGTTCTTTAATTTCTTAGTTTTATATATATCGTTGAGTGCTTTAAGACATAAAATCGATATAATTAATTTATTCTTGGGAAAACTTTTGCATTACCTTGTTAAACGCATAAATAAAAAGTTAACCTACAAAAAAATCCGATCTTAACTTAAACAAAAATCGGAGCTTTTATACATTTATCTATGAAAAAAAAAAACATTTAACATTTAAGCTAAATTTTACAACTGTTGCAACGACAACTATACATCCACCATTGGCCCCTCCATAATCCATTCTCTTTACCTTTATCCGATGTCTCTTGAGGAACCGGATAAGTATTTACTTGTTATTTTTTGTAAAATCTATGGCTTTAAGAAAAAAAAAAAAATTATGGTTAAGATGGGTCTATTCTAATGGATTGATTTTTATATTTAAGCTTTAGACATAGCAATTCAAAACGTTTCATAAATATCCATTCATTAAATTGAGTTCGAGATATAAACTTAACGGTACTCCATCACTCCACTAAATACATTGGCTTTTTTTAATATAAATTATCATACTTATTAGCTATAGTTTTGTAACATCGGCGAATGCAAAGGTACCTATAGTTGGACATAACAATGTTAATCTAATATTTATGTAGTGTTCTACCATCAACTTTATTCCATTAATCACTAATTTCATTCAATAAATCTTCAATAAATATTTTTTTTTTACAAAGAAATATCGTCCAAATAGGCTGTGATTGGTAATCATGTAGCTGGGCAGATTTATTTTTCTCATTACCAATCAGTTTGGCCTCAGTCTGAGGCCAAACTGATGAGGCCTTTTGGCCATTTGGAACTTAGTGGCGTTCTAACTTACATATAGGCATTTTAGCTTTCTGACTTACAGATATAATATATAACCGTAAAAGGTTTTTAAAACGGCAAAGCTTGTACCATTGCCAGTATTGATGTATCAAAGTCCATTTCTTCCTAATTTTATAGAGATCAAAACGAGTTCATTTACTTCTACTGAAAGACCCTTGGAAAGAACAAATCTTTGAATATGTTAAATTATTCGATGGAAAAATTATAAAAATTATTTCATCCTAAATCCAATATGATGACCACCCAAGAAGGCGAACTAATTAAGTTTTAAGCACTTTCATAATATGCGTATCACATGATCGGATTCGTTTAGAACATTGCAATAAAAAAAAATAAAAAATAGGTCTTACTTATAGTACACATAAAAACGCTTTCATTTTCTTATAAAATATTAACTTACTTTTCTTTCTTTTTTATAGATAATCAAGCAAAGTGATTTACGGAGAAATCTTACAATAATCGTAATGGTTTGCGATAAATTAAAATTGTTTCCGACATCAAATACGCCATCCTCTGTACCTATCGATAGGCGCGTTGATTTTGTTCATAGATATGAAAAATAATTTTATGTCATTTTCACTTTGTCTCGACTTATCTTTGACTTCATAAATGATATGTACATAGCTTATTTATTAAATATATATTTTGATATATAAATTGTAATTTAAAGAACAAAGGTTAAGCAAAACTTTCTTTCTTTTTCGTTACAAACTGTATGCCTTATGTCTAGCCAGCGATTTATGTATTTAATTAGGTAACAACGCATTCAGAAATTTATCGACTTTGTGACTTCCATCCGACAATGTCATTTGTACGTATGAAATAGCTAATAAAATAAAAACGTTCAAGATTCTGTTCAAAGAAACAAGTAATGTTGCAGTAAAAACGATATCTCGTGAGACAAAACTCATAAGTATTTGATCCTTCTTCAGAAGAGATCATATTCGGTGTCCGCATGGTATCAACAAGGTAGAGTTATAAGCCGACGTGTTTAGTATCGAGGTAGTACATAGCTGTGAATCGGTCATACGCAGGGCGCGTGCGCCTGCACCAGCACGCCTAGGGTTGCCAACCCTACTCTAATGTATAGTATTGTATAGTGCTCTACACAAGGTAAACGTACTCTATAATCTACAACACAAATAGAGGACACTAAAATACTCTTTCTTACACAATGTTTATTATACTAGTGCCGGTGATATATACCTATTATCGTAACAAAGGAAAAAAAAAACAAAAAACAAATTTTTAATGTTAAATAATTTTTTTTATAAGTACGTACTTTAGCTATTATTCATCTCCTTTTAAATCAGATATACCTTTTCTATTTCTTATATTAAAAGTTGGCAACCTTAAGCAAGCCACCGTGCCGCCAGCCGCCGTCGCCGTCCGCTGGCGCGACGTTAATCGTAGTAAGGAACTACAGACAGTATAGTAAGTACTGTTTTTGTACACTGTTTTTATACTTTGTATTGTATTTGTTCTATAATGCACATATATTTATATTAGATATTGCATTGGAAGAGGGATTTGGCATGAAGATATACATAGATAAATATTGCTCTGAAAAAAAAAACAATAATACCTATCCTCAAAAATATAGTCTTATTATATAGACTCTACATATCTGATCTAATGCACCCAATATCTTTCGGTAACTGTTATAATTTGCGAGAAACGATATTTTTCAGTGCTGAGAAATGTATAATTTAAATACAATGTAGGTAACTACTTATATTCTCTAAACTAGAGAATTTTAATTGTCATTTGAAAAAAAAAACGAAAATTGTTTGAAATCGGGATCATTCTTATATTATATATGAATCTTCTAGTTTCCATACTGACTTCAAAGTTATTGTCGTCTCCAACTGCCACGCCACTTGCGCTTTCGGTGCTTGCGCACTCGATTGGATAATTACATACATGAATCTCTGACTGCAGCCTTGCTACTGCTTTGTTAGATCTAGATCGTACACATTTCTGTTTATAACCCTAACAGTTATATCGATAACGTTAATGCAAAGTAACTAAAATCAGTTTTACAATTTTTATTGAATAAAATATTTATATTCAGGTACCGTAAAAGTAGAGTATCTCTTTAGAATAGATTTCGTATGTAATTCACGTAATTGAAGGTATTGTGCTTATCGGTTTTAGTATAAAACTCGTATAACAGTTGATTGATTAGTATTGTATGCGAGATCATTCGTTTGTTTTCCAATTGAAAATAAAACAAAACCTTACTGAGATTCGATTCCATTCCCCGATTCCCACATCATTCAATTCACCTTGGCGGCGCATATAATAAAAAGCATGGTTTATGTCTCGAAGGATTAAATTTAGTGGCCTTTCTGAGAAATTAGAGTGGTGAATTAAAATGCATTTATGTTGTTAGGTAATTAAAATTTATAGTCTATAATAATTATTTTGCTAAAAGTGTTCTGAGTGATAAATATCTATAATGTTTTTGTTTTAATGTTGAACGAGATTGCATTCTTTAATTTTGTAGTTTAACGATAAAGAATATCTAAACATTTTTTTTCCTTAATCAACGATAATTTAAACAATAATGTTAAATATTAGTTAGTAAATATTTTGACCTGAAGTTTTAGCATTGAAGTAAGCGATAACTTGTTATGAGTTCAAATACTATACTGATATCAATCTAAAACTGAAACTGTTTCATCACTTCGTCGTCTTGTTTGGTCGCTTCCTGACCTTAGCATTATTTTTGTGTCATAATGAATGTTTTATCCACTGACCCTGCCGCTTGACAGGTAACAGGGGGAGTGTGGTACTCTCTATTCACAAGAACCCACCCGGAGGCTAGTCAAAACGCGGATGGCATACCCGCTAAACCCCTTTTAATGCCCCCTCACTTTTGGGGGAAGGGCCTGGGATCCAGCAGGGAGTGCTCTACACCCAGACCCAGACGTTTGAATCTCCCGGAGAACGTGTCGCCGTCAGAAAGCAGGAAGAGAGTCAGGTACATAACAGCCCATTACTCAGACAATGAACCGTCTACAAGCGGTCATGAATCTGGTGTCAGTTCAGAGCGTGCGGTTCAACAGAAGGCAACCCTTTCGTTTAAAATCCTGACCTAACCAAAGTTAGGCTCACGTTGTAGACAAGCTATCGTAATGAGGTACAGCAGATGATGGGGACAGTCAAAGGTAACGAAAAATAAATAGTGTTGGAGGTCAAAAGTATCGTCGATATTGCCAATTGACGGTTAGCCGCGGTCACTGATCCAGACGTTTGTGATACACACACACCTCACAATGGTTCCTGACCGTCGTTACGGCTATCAAACTATCTGTAATATGGTTCAATCTCGACTAATGTTGTGACTGTGGCTGGATCATATGGCAATTGACAAGGCGTGTTACGAGTTTAGTCGGACACTCTACTTATATTTTATAGATGTTTTAACGTTTACTGAACGGTTGTAAAGCGATTACCAAAATTATTTCTTTTATTCGGTTTTTTCATGGGTTTGTGGTGATCCCATAGATTTTTTTCGAAATCAAAATAATTGGAAATATTCTTCCAAATAACAAAAACAAACTTTCACAACATATTTATATCGATAAAGAATCACCGAGTATTTCGTTATCCTATAATTTTTGTTATGTTAACATCAAATTTTAAAATTATAATTTTTTTTCCATAAACAAAAACTGTTTTTTGTGTCAGTTTTATTGTATTTTTTTAAAATTGAAAGTCGTCCTATCCTGTTTTATTTAGATAGGTTGGACTGCATATTCATTTTGTATTCGCCGTTGGTAATCGACCACCGACCAATGACCCATTTTGACCCCTGCTAAAAACTGACCTTTCAAAGTTGTTCGAACCAAAACATACCTAACAAAGTTTAGCACAATACAACTCGCCAGTGTGACTCGCTCGCTACTGGCGCCATTAATTTCAATTGTACTATCAAGGTGCAAAGTGCTTCTACTTCGAAGCTTCTACTTTGATTATTCGCAGTTATTACATGCTATTTTTACGAAGTGAAGGCTTGTTCTATTTCTCCGAAAACGATTTTCTATTTTCAAAATGCAAATTTTCCGAACAACGCTTTATCGATAATTTTTTTATACAATGGAAGTCAGAACTGACTTTACCTCTGACGAACAGATAATCTTTGCGACATATTTAAATAAATTATAAGGACGTTTCATAACGGACTATATGTCTATTCTTAATTTTATACGCTCGGCATGTATTATAGTAATCAGAGTTATAATATAATGGACGAAACAGATTTTGTCTGCAGTCATCCGTCGGGCAAAGAGTTGTAAAATATTATTTATTACGCATATGTGCTAAGATTTCGCGCGCATTTCTAAGAAATTGCAGCGAGAATGGATTATAATTTAAACTTTGCGATCGTGGAGTCCAGTTTTATTTGCTGCAGTAATTACATTGCTGGCTAAAAATGGAAAATCATTGAGTTACCAACTTAGTAATTTATCCTAAATTTATCCACCAAGATATCTCAAAGTAGTAAAATGAAACGAAATTTTGTCTTATTATCTATAAGGTGTCTTATCCTATGGCTAGAATCATGGATAGACTGTTAGGAGGTCGCGCCCCAGGTCAGACTAATCTCTGGTGGTCAGGTGTTTAGTCTCTGGAGAATTTAAAACGATAAAATTGGAGTAATGTGAGTCAGATTGGTATATTCACCTATTCTGAAACTAGGTACATCCGTTAAGTCTTTTAAAAGTTATGGTGGAATAAAGAAAATCACTTAAATACAAAAATAAAATAACTATTGTGTAAAAACTTCATAAATAAACAATTCACAATTCACCTATGGGGACGCCACTTCACATCGGCTATAAACTATGTGGGAAAACAGCTAGTAGGTATGTGTTTCGTTTAGTCTTTCTCTACAATAAACTTATATAAAACTATACTACTATACTATACTATATAGTTTAAGCGTGAACAACTACTAGATACACAACATAGACTTTCGCATTTATAGTATTAGTATGGTTAGTTATAATTTGATGAAATAATGATGTTATTATGTTTTTTAATTTCTAGCTTCGCCGCATATACAGAGTAGGTTTGCAAATAATGCTATTTTTTTCTAAGGTTTAATATTGTTAAATAGAATCTAATTATGAAGATAAATGTTTTTGGAATTTAGTTTTTCTATATTAATTGGCTTCTTTCCCACGATAATTTATAGTCTATGTCACTCGCGTATGATACTGCTTCCCATAGGTAAAAAAATAGAAAAAAAGATAGGTATTTCAATAAGTATATATGTATCAGAATAAATCTTAATTTGTTAATATGTCTTTTAACTTGCGTGTCCATAAATAACGAATTTTTTTTTCCTATAAGGAAAACATGACGCTCACAATACTAGTTGACTATTTACCTACTATATTCGATAAAAAATGTTTTGGATCTTACAACCTATTTGGATTTTATTCCCACACACAGCTACCATTTAATTTACACTGTTCTTTAAAATAAAAACAAATTGAGTGAGTTTAAGATTTTCTTTTTATAGTTAATCATTAATTAACATTGCACATAATTTAAATTCAATTTCAAGTGATAATGAAACTAATATTGTTATTTATATAAAAAACTGACTTACCTGAATGAAAATGAATGTTTGTGGAAAGCGTAATTTTCGCGCCGGTACTACGATACGCGTATTATGAAAGTTGTTCGATTACGCATCCGATGTACGCCGCGTTCGTCGCCGGCTGGGTCACGCTGTCGCAGCCGCGTGCGCAGCTCGGGCTTATATCGCTCGGTGGGCGGGAGGAGCGCCGCCACGCCCCCCACCGCGCCCCGCCCCGTTCACCTGGTACTCCTGGCTTCTCCAATTCAATTATCTGGCCCTATTTGGTTCTACCATTTGGCCCTATCAAGTAATTGCCAAAAGCGACAGGACATGAGGTTAGTGAATATCAAAATAGTTGTTGGTACTTATTTCGGGATTAGAATATTTAGTGTCGCCAATGTGTAGTATTTTTTCTTGAGACAGGTCTCTTGACATAAATTTAATAACTTAAGTATAAAGCTTTTGCATACCCTCTCAAATTTATTTCAAGCTTTAACTAATATTATATGCTTAGTCTATCCATAAATATTGTTAGCATTAAAAATAAACAACACATTACTTTTGAATTTCGAATCCGTTATTTTTATATGATTTTGCATTGTCCTGCCTTATATTCGCGCCAATAAATATAAAATATTTAGTAATATTAAAATGGAGTGGGATGATAAAGAGAACCGCATCGCTGTTATTGCATTACATAAGGTAGATATGGAGTCAAACACAATTTTCAAAACCTTCCATACGTTTGGTATTAACCAAATGTTTGTCTACGGGGCTATTGATAGGTATTATGAAACTTTCTCTGTTTTTGACAGCAAAAGATCTGGCCGTCCACGTAGTATTTGTACAAAAAGGTGACCAATGCAGTAAGGGAAAGAATTTGAAGAAATATTGTCCGAAAGTAAAATATTTTATCGGGAGATGAAGATAGCATATAGAACCAGGTCGCGTATTATCGGTCGCGTACTAATAAATTTTTATTTGCAAGAATATGGTACAAATGATGTTACACAGTTATTAACAATAGTTTCTCACATTCTACAGTATATGAACAGTGTACAAATATTTTTATTTTTAAATGTCACTACATGAAAACAGAGAATAATGTTTCAGTTAAGATGATGTCAATAATTAATAATTAACCATTCAACCATAATGATCCATTTACAATAATCATTACAAATGTCATCTAAATTTAAATTTAATTACCAATTTTATCCATTAAGAAGTCATTAATATTATAATACAATTTATTTATTTAATATTCATGCAGATGTTTTTAATAAAAGATGAAATAGGAATCCCAACCTATAAGAGACACTCTGGTCACTTCTTAACAGATAATTTAAAAAAGAATAGGGTGGTAAAATCAAAACTACAATTTTTTTTACAAATAAGCACTATAATAATAAACAAAATATCTGTATTTATGTACATTACAGAGTATATTGGGCATTAACCGACTTGAGTGATGGTTTGATGGGGTGTTAGCTAGGAGAGTGACTGAGCCATATTTTTGTGAAAAAGGCATCAAAACATCGGCATAAATCTATCAAGATACCATTCTCGAAAAGGTAGTTAAGCCCCTTAACAAATCGTCCTTTCAGCAAGACTCAGCGTCAGGTCATCACATCAACCTCGATCCACCCAATATTGGTTAAAAAAGAACGTTCCAGACTTCATCAGCCCTGCGATTCTGTAAAAATCGAGAACCGAATTCGTATTCACGCATGTGTCCGAATTCACAATATATTGTGTAATAATTCTATTGATTCCATTTTCTTTATAAAAATACAAAGTAAAATTGATTGAATGTACGTGTCTCAGATATTCTATTCCTATGTCATTTCAAAACTCACTTCACTTATTAGACAAAACGTTATTACCAATTCAGGGTTGATCAAATGCCGCTTTTTGTAGTGAATTCAGACACCTGAGTGAATTCTTATTCGGGTTTGGATTTTTACAGAATCGCAGGCCGTCATCTATTTTTAATCCGCTGGAATTTCATTTATGGTCAGTTTTAGAGAGTAAGGCTTGCTCTAAACGTCATGATCACATTATAATGTGGAGTTCTTAAAACAATCCATAAGATTGACAGCTAATAATTTTCCCACGGAAAGAGTGCGAGCGTCTATTGATACTTGGCCTCAGCGTTTATAGGACTGTATTTCAGCCGATGGAGACCATTTTGAAGCTATATATATTTTTCATTATCATCATTTCAACCGAGAGACTGCTGGGCATAGGCCTCCCCCAAAGATCTCCAATGTGATCGGTCCTTCACCAGATCGTCAGTCCACCTCATGGGGGGCCTACCAACGCTACGTCTATCGGTACGCGGTCGCCACTTCAGGACCTTACCGCCTCAACGGCCGTCAGTCCTGCGAGCGATGTGCCCTGCCCACTACCACTTGAGGTTCGCAACTCTTTGGGCTATGTCGGTAACTTTCGTTCTTCTGCGGATCTCATCATTTCTGATTCTGATCTCATCATTTCCGGTTTCAAAGAAACCAAGAGCATAGCCCTCTCCATTGCCCTCTGAGCGACCTTGAGCTTCTTTATGAGGCCCATCGTAAGCGGCCACGTCTCAGTTCCGAATGTCATCACTGGCAACACGCACGAATTGAAGACTTTCGTCTTGAGACACTCCGAATATATTTTAATGGCTTTATATTAGAGTACAGAGTATTAAACTACCACACTGTAATAGTAATAAATCTTATGTTCAATAAAAAATATGTTGTTTTCTATGTAGGTGGTAAAACTATGTACAAAAAATGTTTTTCAATTAATCTAGTTAGTTGTTAATGTTTATTTTTTAATATAGTAATGTTTTCTGCAATAAATATGCATTCATCCCACATCCCGTTTTTGAATTGAATATTTAAAGTTAACTGAGTCTCAAACTGTCCTTAAATGTCACTTACAGGTTTTTATCTTTGATTTTAGTTTTTTTAATGATTAGTTGATAGCAGTTTGATAAAAGGAAAAGTAATAAAACTGAAGTTATTGAGAATAATGAGTTGAAATTTTGTACTTTTCTCATTTGAGAAACCGGTCGATAGTGTCACAAAGTTAATACTCTCATAAAAAGATAGAGCGCATTATCGTCGCATTAAATTGGGTATAGGTAGGGTTACCATCTGACCGGATAAATTCGGTCTAGACCGGATTTTGAGGAAATAGGCCGGATTCCGCCCGGATTTCATTCGAGACCGGATTTTATGTCATGTCAGTAAATAATTAGCGCCATCCGGTACGATGCGCAGCGAACGCCAAATTAAAACAACCATATTATGATGAGTCTGCACGTCTTGACATGCAGAGGTGCAGGAGGGGCGGCCCCTAACCTTTTTTAAGTGACTTTTATTTTCCCAATCTAGTGACTTTTATTTTTGGCCAAAGACCGGATTTTTTTACAGAAATCAGGATTTTTTTGCACAAACACTTGCATGCAACCGGCTTTTCGATTTAGACTTCTGGTAACCCTAGGTATAGGCGAAGATTATCATTTACTTGTAAAATAATAGAATAAAACTCTAGATTTTATAGTAATAGACTCAACTTAATTGTAAGATAGCCCAAAAAAAAGATTGGTGGAGTCTGTACTGTGTGCCAACTTCTCTAACTCATTAGACTCTTAATGCAGTAGATACTTAGGTTTTACTCTAGAAAGTACTATATAAAGGAACAAATGTGAAATTTAACTAATAATCCTGAAACACCCACACTTAATAGCCAAGTCGACGTTGAAATCACTTATTAAGCAGATAATTAATACTTAAAAAACAAATTGTACATTACATGTGTATCGTTTAATGAACTCTATGTTCTTCAAATAAAATTAATCACATACCAAAATCTGTTACATAATCTATTTTCTAGTCTCTGGTAGAGATACCGTAATAATTATTTATTTACAAATCATACCTACATTATATAAACAAAATAATGTTTAATGTTTATTTATCACAAATCACAAGCTCTCTTCTAACTTTATCGAGTAATAAAAACGTGTTGATTTTTTGATATCCATTCATAACATTTAATAGTTTATATAATAAAAAGATTTCAGAAACTGTAATATTAGTTAATGTTTTTGTCAGTGCATTTTACCATTATTGGGTCAAAGAAGCTCATTAATTGAAGAACCAAAAACGTCTAAAGAGGTATAGTCTAAGTTTTATCTCAATAAATAAATCTAATACTTAACAAATATAATTCTTACGAGTCATTTTCAATATCTCAGATTTTTTATCATTTCCATGAACTTTTTCATTTTTAGTTTTTTTGCACAAATTCTACATATCAGTAAAAATGTTTGATTGGCTGTTTCGTTACTTACTTCAGAAACTAAATATTCGCATCACCTCCACGACGGTAGCGAAACGGCGAAGCCATACATGGTCGGTAAAACTAGGCCGTTTAGATTTAGAAGCTTGGCTCTACATGAGATCTGATATCTTTTTTCACAGGGCAAACCTTATTGGCAACATTTTACATAAAATGTTTTTGGTGGGATTTCAGTTCTTTCTTTAAGTTGCTAGGCAGTCTTTTTAATGTTTACTTTTTTCTTATTTTTTTATTTATCTCTTTCATGCACATCAGCAGTGCCGGTTTTCATAGCCCATTCTCTGTCTTTGCCTTTTTTCTTTAATGGTTTACTAATTAGTTAACCATTAAAGAAAAAAGGCAAAGTTAGTAAACCATTAAAGAAAAAAAGCAAAGACAGAGAATGGGCTATGAAAACCGGCAATTGCCATAAGGATAAATCAGGGAGATATTTCGCTCTTAAGCGATTATATTCAACTATAGCTGGCTGTTGTGCTTTAATACTAGCAAATTCTATATTGTAAATTGGTCACTCTAGAGAGTGCTACATAAGCCTGCCCACAAGAGAAAGTGGATAACCCAATATCAATAAGAGCATTAGTCAAACTTAGACCTTGACTGTTATGTATAGTAATAGCGTAAGCGACACAGATTGGAAACTGTGCACGGGGAACGAATGCTCTATAGATAATTTCAAATTTAGATCTTACAGGTGCACGTTCGTGTTTAAGAGCATTATTAAAAAAGATCACAACTCTCCTTGCCTTCTTCTTGTCGTTCAAATTCCATTCTACTTTATCAACAATGCCTTTAGCACCA